ATGCCACAATTATGTAATCGTTCAAAGCGGCAATTAATCGTTCAAAGTCCACTTATGTTATTCTGCACGCATAAGATGCGTTTTTTCTTTCTACATGTTATCTTAAAGGTTTTTCCATTTGTTTTAATTTTAGTTTTAGTATAACATTATAATACCATGCATATTTTTATTTTTTTATAATTTAAAGAAGAAACCAGTCCGATGTATAGTTGACATTTGAGGCTTAATACTATTGAAAAGCACTAAAGGTTTTTCAGTTAGAATGTTTTCAGCTTGTTTATTTTCATATAAAAATACGGCATGCAGTTGCATCAAACAATGGTATAAACATAATTCAATGTAAATTGTGATAATCGTAATTAATAATCGCAATTACAATTTCAAGGGAATAATCGACAATTATGATTTTTGTCATAATCGTGCAGCCCTAATATACATAAAATACATTTATTTCATACTGAGTATAGCTCAAATCTATTAACACATCTGCTGACATTACGCTCGAGACTTACTGAAATAAAAATTGTAATTAACTCTTTCCCCGCCAAACACGGAATTTTCTGGGTTTCTGCTTTCTCGCTATTATATGCTCGGGGGCGCTTCTACGCATCTCCTGAATGAGCCTAGAATCACTCTATCAAAAGCACAGGCGAGGAAGCCGCAGAAACGAGGGATCTCATTTGTAAGCATATGCATATGAAAAATAATGCGATCATCAACACTAAACGCATATAAATGAAAACCGCCTAATGCTACCGAGTGAAATGCCGATCCAGGAAGTGGCAAAGGACTGTGCAAGCTTTGGGGTGCTGATTGAAGCGATCTACTGCATCTGTGCTTTGATCTTCGTACTAAATATGATCCAGATGTAGTATTTGATAAAAATGCGATTTTCTTAGCTTTTTGCTCAAAATATTGATTTTTTTTTTTTTTTAAACCTACCAGCCTGATCTCACGGCAATTCGTTCATATTTTACGAGGTGGCTAATTTGTACGAATTCGTATGACCTCCCTCGTACAAATTCATACGATTTGTTCTAAATCGTACGTATTTTGCAAGTTGCACAATTCGTATGAATTTGTACGAATTACCTACTCCTAACACCGCCCCTAAACCTACCCATCACTGGGGTGTAGACAAATCGTACAAAATCGTACGAGTGAGGTCGTACGAATTCATACGAATTAGCCACCTCGTAAAATACGTACGAATTGGTCGTGAGATAGCGTTGAACCTACTACATGCTTGTCGTTGGCGCCAATAGCCTTGTGGTTAGTACGTCGACATAGAGCGCAGCTGCGCTCACGGCGACCCGAGTTCGATTCGTGCTTCGAGGTCCTTTGCCGATCCTGCTTTCTCTCTCCACCCAGTGCTTTCCTGTCGTTGCTCTACAGTCCTATCTAAATATAAAAAAGCATAAAAGGCCAAAAAATAACTTTTAAAAAAAGAATGCTGTAAGCTAGAGTGAAACAGATTTGTTTGTTTAAAAGTAGAGGATCTGTTCTTTATTTTGATGTATTGCATGTTCAGATATTCATACAACAAAATGTTCTTGGGGCCATGAAATTTTAGTGTGTGTTATATAAATCATGTGTGTTATAATCATCAAAAAACGCTGGCGGTGGCTGGCAACTTTTTTCTTATTCTTTTGAAAATGGCAAGAAACATGACCTGGATGTGTTATTGATAGGTGCCATGTCGAGTGTAGTAATGCGGTTTAACTGTTTCATATTCCAGGCAGTAAAACCCCCAAGAGAGGTGAGTTTAGAGGAACCAGAATACTCGGTAACATAGTGACTGCCCTAGTAGAAAAGTAATATATTTAAAATACATTTATTTCATTCTAAGTATAGTTCAAATGTGTTAACATATTTACTGACATATCGCTTGAGACTTATTGATTATTGATAAATTATAGTTAAACTTTATTTGGAGTACTACTTGTGCACAATGCACATTTCTTAATATTAAGCCAAAAATGTGTTTTATTGTCACTATTGATGAGGATTGTATGATCTTTGAATAATAATGGAAGATATTTAAAGTGTACCTAAACTATCCTTGCAATAGTTCCACTTTAGCACAATCAAATATACTTCGGTTCATCTTTAGTTGGACTACTTCCGCACAATTAAACTGCATTAAGCACAAAATTAGTAGTTCCAATTTAGCAGACTTTAAGTATACCAGTTTAGTATACCAACAGTACAATTGCAGGGTATTTTTATTAAGCTCATAAATATGTAAATGTATTTGTAGTATGCTTGGCACAAAATAAATGTATTTCAAATACATTTTAGTATTTCTTTTTCACTAGGATAGTCCTGACGTTCCTGAAATTTCATTCTCAGTGGCCTTTTGCAAACGTTAAACTTTCGGCATCATTTATTACACACATTTCTTTCTTAACTTTAGTGGAACACAAAAGGCTTTTTTAAATACCTTTTAAATCTGAATGGTTTCAGATGCTGTCACGCTCTGAACTTCCAGTGTGTGTCATAGTTCTTGTTGGCAGCTATATTTAGAAAGCAAGATTGAGTCAGTAACACTGTTTGTCTATATTAGTATCCTGAATGCACCTGGAAATCACTGCATGTCATATGTTGCATATAGTGACACCTGGATAAGTATAAATATACCGTTTTGTTCTGTCTTTAGAGTTGCAGATTTCAATGGAGAGGTCAGATGACATTGAAGCCAGGAAGTTACGCAACAACAGTAGCCAGTGTAAGTAGAGTATTTGATTTTATGAGATATTTGATTTTTCTTAAAACACAAAACTGTGATTGATTATGACAATACGAAAACATGCATAGGATGCATTTCACCCCCAAAACTATTTTCATGACAGTTAAAATTCCCATGATGTATGAATGCAATTTAAATATTTGTGTTTCAGTAATTCACATCTGTTCAAAAGTTTTTGAAAGAAACAATGTTACACATTTACAGTGTTATAAAAGGTTTAGATTTTTAAAAATGCTGTTCTGTTGAACTTTCTATTCATCAAAGAATCTTGAAAAAAATCAGGCAATTACCAGATTAGAATGATTTCTGAAGATCATGTGACACTGAAGACTGGAGTAATGATGCTGAAAATACGGTTCTGATCACAGAAATAAATGGCACCTTACAATATATTCAAATAGAAATATTATTTTACATTTTAAAAATATTTTGCACTATTACTGTTTACTGTATTCTTGATCAGATAAATGCATAAGGGTCTTCTTTCAAAAACATTAATAAATCTTACAGAGCCCAAACTTTTGAACGGTAGTGTACATTACAAAATATAATTTCACATTACAGTAATGTGAATGAGAATTCTTATAAAATATCATAAAAATAATATTAGAAATCACTAATATAGTCACTATTAACTAATTTTTTTTTTACCTGCAAAATATATATATTTTTATTTCTGTTGTTTGATTTTGGGGTGAAATATGACCTGGACTTTTGTGAGATTCACCCGCAGTTTGTTTTGCCTAAAACTAAGCAAAGTCCTCTTACTAATGTAGCTAGCTATCAGCTGAGCGCCGCTCCCTGCCTGTATTAAAGGCTGTTGAGTGGCTGCATCGGCTCTGGAAGAATGCGAGGGGTGTGTGGGTTTGTGATATAACCAACCACATTGCCACAAACAATGCTCTCTTGTCTGGCAGCCATCTGATCACTTGCACTCCTCTGAATGTGAATGTCTCTCTTTCCCTCATCAGCGGTGGTTTACCCCTCCCGCTCTGTTTGCTTGATGTTGTTTTCATGCTCTACAATGTTGGCAAGCAACAGCTGGATTTTTTGCCTGTATGCCATTATAGAAACATTTGTGGGAACATGAAGTTAAGAGTATAATAACTTTCAGCATGCCGTTCTGAGAGTACAGATTTGTTACTTGCTTTATTTAGGGTCATATACTATTTTATCATTTTTAAATATTTAGGTGTCTTTCTGCATGTTTCGCTTATACTGCTTTCCTCTTCTCTCTCTTCATAATCACGTAATCATAGTCACGTCCAAAAACAAGCTGGCTGTGTTTTCCTGCTGTGTTTTTAAGACTATGTAAATATCCTCTTCACAAGTGAAATGAGATTCAAATGCAGTGAGATGAAAGCTTATTCACAGGCTGTGCGTTTTCTGTTCGGGTCAACCCTTGTGAAAAACAAATGCACTTTAGCATACTTTCAAAAACTGAAATAATGTGCTTTGCAAGATTAAACCAATATAATGTTTTCTGACACTTAATTGCATGTTACTTACAAATTAATTAAGCGTACTAATGTATATTAAGTGCAATTAGTTGAATTTAGAGTGATCATTTGACCTTTGACCTATCTTCGTATGTAATTTCATAATTCTATTGTCTTTGAAATATGGTTAAAATGTACTCCTGAATGCACTGACAAGCCTTTATGGTAAACTAAAACATACTTGAATGTCATTTTTATTTCAATATATTTGTAATTACATGTTGTAATGATGAAGTTGCACTTTAGTACATTTAAATTATATTAACTTTTTAATGTAATATTGAATAACGCAATACAGTTAAAGTAATCAAGTACTTCACGTGTGCTTTAGCATGTTAGTCAACACATCAAAATAAATGTACTTGAAAGATGATTTCTTTTGGCATTTAATTTGACATTATTACAAAGTGCACAAAGTCTACTTGGGTGTATTAAGAAACATACATAGTCATGAAAGTGTCTTAAGTACACTTAAGTATTGGGCTTTTATTTTGTTAAAATTGTATTAGCTGCAAGTACAGTGTTTTGAAAATATACTTTTAAGATTTGAAGTACACTACAAGTGCACATCAAGTACAGTTACGTGCACTTCTTTTTATCACAAGGGAAGAGTAGCTCATAACTGCCTCTTTGTAGAACCGCATTACATTGTGAAAGATTTATGATTCATAAAACAATATGCAGAGCAGCAGTTCATACACACAGCCAGGAACAGCACATGGTTTGGTGAACTTCATCTAGTCAGTTTTCTCTCTGCATTAGGTTTCCATAACTGGACTTTTTGTTTGTTTGTTTGTTTTGTACAAATCATCGTTCAGGAATCTAGAATTGACCTGTGACCTCAGAAACCTAGCTCAGTTCAGTGGTTAATTCAAACGGTCCATGAGGGTTCTATTTCTCATGATTTAACTCCTATGAGATGAAATTGCACATTAATTTGAATCTTTTTTCTCTCACTTTCCCTGCAGCTTTCTCTCCGAGTTTGCAGGAAACCGGTGTGCCGATCACGTCGAACGCTCCTTTACTCCCCAGCAGCATACGAGCGTGAGAGTGTCCCGTGCATCATTTTCATTTCCACACCTCCATAAACGATGAATAATTTGTCTCTGTGAGGAATATGTCCTCTGGCTTGGAGTCAGTGGCTGATTTTGAAGTATACCCCTAAAAATTGTGATTTCATGGGTAGTTTTTTTAACATATCTGAAATGGTAGGTGTATTTATGCTTCTCATTTTCATAATTTCTTGAGATGGATGTGTGATGTATGCCGTAAGCCGACAAATGACTTGTTGAGAATGAAGAATAAGAAACAGTCTGACCTCTTTATTGCCAGCATGATGCACATATACTGTAGGAGCTATATGGCCTGATTCTTTCATAGTGATTTAACTTTCCATTCATTTCTGAGATATTTCACCCCAAAAAATGAAACTTCTGTCATTTATTAACCCTCACGCCATTCCAAAATTGTATAGTTGTCCTTCTTTCATAAATCACAAGTGGTGAATTTGAGGAATATCGTGGCCACTCTTCAGTATATGGAAAAAAGCAGTTGTGTTGATGGTTTGGTCACAACACAATGGTTTTTGAAGACTTTTAATGTAGCGAATAAGTCATACAGACTACTTTTTAATGGTATCCCCAACGATTGGCCAGAATATTCTTCAGAAAACTCAGCTTTGTGTTGCACTGAAGAAACAAAGGGTGTGCAGGGTGAGAAAAATGAAAGTCTTCATTTGTACATTTTGGACTTTTGAATAGTGAACTGTTCCTTTACTGCTAAGATGAAGAATGTATTGGTCAAATGTTGGCACTTGAGTGAAAGTTTGGCTGTGCCAAGTTTGTTGGACCACACAAAATGCTTTGAGCCGGAATGAATGTTAAAGAATTTTAAATGGGCCTGGGTGCTTATTTAAACGTCCATAGAAACAACTTATGCACTTGCCATATGCAAAATCTAGCATAGCATCTAATCAATGCTTTATTTGCATGTATATTTTAATGGTGCAAGAGTAATTTGTTAGGAAAAAATGTTTTCTTATATAAGCCTGCTATGTTTGCTTAAATAATAATAAAATTTCTGTTGCTTGTGTAGCCCCCTTATCACTTTACCACTGGACTGATAAGGGCCTGAGTTCGAAATTCTAATTGATCCTTTGTTTAGCTGTCTTCTGATGGAAATTATTACTAACCGATTTCTGGTTGACTTAGGATCACTTCAAATACTCACTAAATTCAATCAAGGAAATGAAACAACACACTACACAATTAAATGAGTGAGTTCAAAGGGGTATTAATATGAATTCAAGTAGGCAAATGGAAAAAAATAAAGGCATAGATGCCGTAGATGTATGGCTTTCACAGTAAATGAATTCAAAACAATAACAGGAGAGAAATACAAATAAAATATAATGACCAGTCCACGATGGACTAATGTAATGGATCGATCTGTGGGTTTTCCTGGTGCATCATAACTGAGACAACTGGCGGGTTCTACCCTACTTCTCAGTCTGTATGGATGTCTACTCTGATTTGCTTTATCAGACTCTTTTGAAACAGGATAGTCTCCCCCTTCTGACTTTGACTCAGCCGTCCCTACACATTACCCAATACACGTACCTGCGCACAAACCAAAAAAAATGTTTTCTAGTAACAGGGTTACACTTGGTAAACGTGGATGGGTGCATGAGACAGGGTGAAAACTATGCAAACTGAATTAAAGTATTTTGCGTGTGCCTTCAGTGAAGACGTCAGCAGAGTAAATGCACTGTGTTCAGTCAATTGCACTAACATTCACACTCTACTCCAATGCATCTGAAGTATGCAAATAAAGACATTAATCCATCATACATACTGCGGCACAGGTGAGGCGGGAAACGGTGCCAGAACACAACTATTTAAATGATGATTCATAGGACACAATTCTGGCTACGTTTACATGCACAGTTTTTGGTTCAATCGGACTGAATTCATTCCGATTGATGAATCTAAATGTAGTGTTTACATGAACGCTAAAGAAAGTGATCGGGTTGATGTGCGTCTTTATATGTCACAAGCTTCTAATCGGAATTGATTTTTTTTTTACATGCGCACACTGGGCAAATAGCTATAGAGTTTCTCACTGTTTACACATGATAACCACTCTCCTACACGGTTAATTTTTTTTTTTACAGCAGAATTAATATTTATCCATTTATCACACAGTAAAAATGCCGCTCCCCGCGTCCAAAACAGGTTGCCTGTGGATGAGAATCCAAAACAAGGACTGGTGGGAGGTTGTCCTGCTCCACTTCACAGTTGCCGAGTGAAAGGAGAGCTTTATAATGACAGGACACGCATTTATACAACACTTCATTCAAAAGGAAGAACCGCTCGTAATACGTTTTTATGTTATTTCTGCGTCTCTGCACATGCGCAGTCCTTTCAGTTTCGGGGTTCAATCCGATCGAGTGTTTACATGCATTCTCAATCGTATTAGAAAAGGAATAAACCGCCCCCTTCAATCCGATCGAAATTTCATTCCGATCGAGCTCAATCGGATCGATTAAGGTGTTTACATTAAGTTTTTTCAGTCCGATTGAGCCGTCAATCCGATTACAAACGGAAGTCGTGGCCTAATGCTTAGAGACTTGGACTCGTAACCCAAAAGGTTGCGGGTTCGAGTCTCGTACCGTGATTGATTGATAAACGCGCACAGCTAAAGTAGTTCCAGGCAGGTCTTAACCGCATTTAACCCGATCTCATGAAAGTGTGTATAAATAGTACGCCAAATAAAAACGAAAACTCGTGGTATTGATACGCAAAAATGGACGTTGGCCTGCATATGATATGCATGTGTTTGGTGTGCATATAATACGCAGTTTTCACTTGCGTATGATACGAAATCTGTTGGCGTGCATATGAAAGGCAGTTTTCGCATACATATGATACGAAATTTGTTGCCGTGCATATGATACGCAGTTTTCGCGTGCATATGATACGAAATTTGTTGGCGTGCATATGATACGCAGTTTTCGCATACATATGATACGCATCTACCCCACAACCCTAAACCTACCCATCGCGTAGCATATACACGCCAAAGTCCATTTTTGCGTATCAATACCACGAGTTTTCGTTTTTATTTGGCGTACTATTTATACGCACTTTCATGACATCGGGTTGATTATTTGGTTGCATGTAAACGTAGTGTAAGCGCTTGAGTTAAGCTGCAATGCAGCATGCTTCGTATATCGAAACCATAAAACCTCCAGAGAATTCCAGGAAATCGTTGAGCAGAAAGTGATATTTGCTTAAGGAGAAAGGGCAGAGGAATATGTGGTTCAACAAACACTTGAAACTGATCCTTTGTTTCACATTTGACACTTTTTGATTCATAGACTTTAAGTTTCTGCCTTAAGGTTAAATGCAGTGAAAGTGTCATGTTTGAACAACACTTACGAAGCACACTGCCTGTGATCAAATGGATTTGTAGTCCCGCAGGCATTTAGTGATGTATGTAAAAATGGGTTTTGGATGAGTTATATGCACTATGTGCAATATCGGTTTACTGCAAGAAGCCTATTCATACTTAAACTATCAGTCAGGGTGTCAGAAGAGTTGTTTTAATACGTCATCCAGCTTTTGTGTGTGATTTATCTATGAATTTATCATAAACGCACAGACAGCTGGTGTATTATTTGCAAAGGCATTATGATATATGCAACTTCTTGAGTTCATATATATTTCTCCATTATGACTATACTACACTTAAAAATAAAGCTGCTTTACTGGCACTGATGGTTGGTTCCATGAAGAACCTTTAACACCCATGGAACATTTCCATTGCATTTAGAGTTGGAAAAAGGTTATTTCGATTCTTAAAATGCTCTACGCAATAAGAGTGATGATTCTTTTTAGAACCAAAAGGTTCTATTGCATCACTGTGAAAACCCCTTTGGAGCCTTTATTTTTAAGAGTGTAACTCATGTTTTTGACATTTATAGTCACAACTGTCTCTTGATATGTGCACTAATCATAGGTAGCCTTTAAATCTAACCTATACAGACCAGAGCAGTGTTTATAGCGCTTTCACCACAACCTTGACTCTTAACCTACATACACTGGTCCATAAACCACAGCAACATGACCTTACGCAACCTTTGCAGTCAGTGGCTTACGAATCTGTCTGTTTAGACCACAGTAATAGTTGGTTGTAATTTAATCTTGTTCTGTGTGAGTCAATCATTTATAAATCTGTCTGATTCCGTCTGTCATTTGTTCAATATCAAAAAAGTCTAGATGTGATTAAGCATAATACTCTCATTGGCTTACAGTGTATGTACTGTCGCTGCTGTATCAGTTTAACAACAATCCACCCTTGTTTAATGAAACCTCCTCAGGGGGTTTTGCAGGGGAATACAGGGTAATTTGTGTGTTTGTCAAACGTTTCTACATCCAGGATGTCTCTGAATCATCAGGTGTATGATTCATCTACTCCACATGGTTCAGGTAGCATCGAAACTCAAGCTTGTCATACCTGATGTTAAATACTGAGACATATGATGCTTTCTTTGTTTATTTGTACACGTAGCTGAGGAAAATTGTGTACATGAATAATATAAGACGTATAAGGAACATTTTATTAGTTGAATTGTGGTGTGTTTGTGCAGTACCATACGCTTGAAGACATTTTTTATAGATTTATAGACAGATTTTATATGTCTGCTCATATAAAACAGAGCACTGACAACAGCAAACAAACGCAACAGGTTGGCAAGCTCTTGGCACAGATGGAGAATAACAACACTGCTTTCACTCTGGTGCTCAACAGAGGAGCTGCTGCACTGCGTCATCACACAACTTTCACAGGTCTTTTAAAGGAACAGTTCACACAAAAATTGAAATTTTTGCTGAAACTGTCCTCGGCCTCAGGGCATCAAAAATGTTTCCTCATCAGATTTGGAGAAATGTAGCATTACATGACTTGCTCACCAATGGATACTCTGCAGTGAATGGGTGCCGTCAGAATGAGAGTCCAAACAGCTGATAAAAACATCACAATAATCCACAAGCTATCCACACCACTCCAGTCCATCAGTTAACATCTTGTGAATTGAAAAGCTGCATTTTTGTAAGAAACAAATCCATCTCCGAGACGTTTTTAACATTTAACCATTGTTTGGCAGGGAACGACCAATAGGTGGAGTCAAATAGTTAAAAATAGAGACGGTTATGATGCACAATGTACAATTTATTTTATGATTTTTAGAAACAGAAAGCAACAAATATTTTCTATTATAAAAATATAAAAGGTGAATGAAACACTTTTGCAAACAAAACAAATAAGAATAAGAATATTCTCTGGTCTTTGTAATCTCCCATGAGTTGTACTTTAAGTACTTTGTCGAATTTATTCCATGGACTGCTGCAGGGATGATGTTATTTTGTAGGCCAGCCCCGAAGTTCACATCATCACGGGTCCCTCAATGAAAACCAATAGGATTTTTCCATTGCCTTTCGGATTATTGCAGAAAATAAGCTCCGAGACCAACAAAAATTCCGTGATTCTTGCACATTTTGTTCAACCGAGATAATATTCACAAATGAACACAGCTTTCAGAAATTTTGAAGCCTACATACAACTGCCTTAAAGGGATAGTTCACCCAAAAATTATTATACTGTCATTAATTACCCTCATGTCGTTCCAAACCCGTAAGACCTCCGTTAATCTTCGGAAAACAAATTAAGATATTTTTGATGAAATCCGAGAGCTCTCTGACCCTCCCATAGACAGCAAGGGTCCTTACACGATCAAGGCTCAGAAACGTAGCAAGGATTTCGTTAGAATAATCCATGTGACATCAGGGCTTCAACCGTAATTTTACAAAGCTACGAGAATACTTTTTGTGCGAAAAGAAAACAAAAATAATGACTTTATTCAACAATTCGTCTTCACCTTAGCGCCATTTTGAAGAGTGTCACATACGTAACCAAGGTATGCAATGTATGTACGCGGATACGTTGTTTACGTTTTGATCTGAACGTAAACAATGAATTTGTTTACATGCGTTGCATACCTTGTTTACGTATGTGATACTCTCCAAAATGGCGCTCGGGTGACGTGGAGGAGATTAATTGTTGAATAAAGTCATTATTTTTGTTTTCTTTGAGCACAAAAAGTATTCTCGTAGCTTCGTAAAATTACGGTTGAACC